AATAATTAAAAAACAAAATAATACAAGAATGGGAATGATACCAGAAATCAAACATAGCCTGCAGGTCCGCACATGGCCAGCAGAGGCAGACTGGAGCCTGTGTCGTTGGCTGTGCCTGGAGATGTAAGCTTGGAGCGTGGAGCATTCTGGGAGATGTAGTTTTCTATAGCCCATAGAAGGGCAGCGGTGACGGCAATAATCACTTACACTCGCGGCCTGCCGATCCGCCCATAACCAGCAGGTGGCGGACAGGAGCCTGTGGAGGGGGCGGTGCTGGGAGTTGTAGGTTGCTGGCCTGGAGCATGCTGGGAGGTGTAGTTTCCTGTGGAAGCAGGAAGTGCAGTGGCATTGCTGGATTGTGGTGATGGGTCGGTGATCGGATTTGTCCGGGACCAGATCAGATGTGAGTAGCCGGTCCCCCCCGGTGTGATGTGTAGACTGGACACCCCCAGGGATGGTAGATGTGACCCTCAGTGTACAGATCTCTATTAGATGGGGGGGGGGGGAAGAGGGGGTTATTTTAAATGTAATTTGTTGAATTCTCTGGAAGGTTGCAATGTGATAAAGGTATCTGAATGTGGTGATCGGTGGTTCTTCGGGGTGGTCAGACGGCGGTGGGATGGCGAGTTGGTCTCCGGTGGCTCCAGAAACGCGTCAGCTTGGGGCGGCTGAGCGTACATGGGTATGGCAGGAGCTCTTACAGCACCCCCTGTATGTGCAGGGAGTGCACAGTGGGCCCCCTCACCCCCAGGCCCCATGTGTGCTGTACATGCTGCGCACATTGGGGACCCCATATCGAACTATGAAGGGTCGTCCCAAATAAAATGGATTCTTCATTATTGGGGTTCCTTGAATTCACTCCTATCTCATTTTTTCCGTGAATCCTTGAGCCAGTCTTGCCATCCCTGTGTAATAAATATTTATTTCAGGTACTTATATAGCGCCGTCAATTTACGCAGCGCTTTACATATATATTGTACATTCACATCAGTCCCTAACCCTCAAGGGGCGTACAATCTAAGGTCCCTAACTCACATTCATACATACACATAATAGGGACAATTTAGACAGGAGCCAATTAACCTACCAGCATGTCTTTGGAGTGTGGGAGGAAACCCACGCAAGCACAGGAAGAACATGCAAACTCCAGGCTGGTGGGGCTATGGTTGGGATTCGAACCAACGACCCGAGTACTGCCAGGCAGAAGTGCTAACAATTTAGCCACTGTGCTGCGCCCTCATAGGCGATGGATGGCGGCCATTGGAAGGGGAGGGAACCCGGAACTGGTGGGGTCATGGCAGCCCCAAACCAGGCTTCCATTCTTCCGGAAATGGCGATTATGGAGGGATCGGAAAAGTCCAAGAGAACCTGGAAATGGAAATCTCTGTTGACTGGAGGTGATGGGTAATCAACTGCTGGACACACCTAATGGCCCCATCCAGAAGTTTTCTGGGAGCATTTAATCAGAGTCTGGGAAGGGTTAGGGCAGAACAATTTGGAGCCAGGGGCGGGGGGGGGGGGGGGGGGGGGGGATGGTAGGTATTGAGGTTACAAGGAAGGTTAATGGGATTAAAGGGTGGGTTTCTTTTGGTGCTTACAGGTAGGTAGGCATTGGGGTATACAGGGTTGGAATATGTTGGGTCTACAGGAAGTTAGTGTTGACATTACAAGGAGAATAGGTGTTGGGATTAAACGTTAATGGTGGGGTTATAGACTGGGTTTGTTATGGTGCTAATGGGTAGGTAACTTTTGGGGGTTGTAGGAAGGGTAGTTGTTTGGGTTACAGGGAAGATTAGTGTTGGGATTACAGGGAAAGTTAATGGTGGGGTTATAGGGTGGTTTTTTTTTGGTGCTCACAGGTAGGTATGTGTTGGGGGGGGGTTACAGGGAAGCTGATTGTTGGGTCTACAGGGAGGGTAGGTGCTGGCGTTACAGGGAGGATAGGTATTGGGTCTACAGGGAGGATAGGTATTGGGTCTACAGGGAGGGAAGGTGCTGTCGATTACATGGAGGTTAGATGTTTGGGGGATACAGGGAGGGTAGATGCTGGCGATTACATGGAGGGTAGATGTTTGGGGGATACAGGGAGGGTAGATGTTTGGGGGATACAGGGAGGGTAGGTGTTGGGGATTACAAGGTGGGTAGGTGTTTGAGGCTCAAAGGGAAGGTAGGTGTCTGGGGCTCAAAGGGAGGGTAGGTGCTTTTGGCTCAAAGGGAGGGTATGTGTTGGGGATTACAAGGTGGGTAGGTGTTTGAGGCTCAAAGGGATGGTAGGTGTCTGGGGCTCACAGGGAGGCTAGGGGTTTGAGGGAGGGTAGGTGTTTGGGTGTTACAGGAAGGGTAGGTGTCGGGGGATACAGGGAAGGTAGACGTTGGGGGGGTTGTAGGCAGGGTAGGCGTCAGTGGGTTGCAGGGGGAGGATAGGCATCGGGGGATACAGACAGGGTATGACATTGCTTTCTGCTACACAAACTACAGCAGTAAAGTTGCTACATCCGTGATACTTACTGTGACAACTTCATATTTACTTTCAGGGGTCAGATAACTGCCGGAGAGGCTGCCAGTAAAGCGCCTCCAGGTTGTATTACATTTATCGGAACACATTCCAGTATTTGCACAGACAGTGTGGCCAACTCTTCAAGCATGGCTGAGATAATCGGGCAGAGTAAGCAATCACTGAGAGATCGATGGCGGTGTCACAAGAGATACCATTACCATCTACATAGACTGGTTGTTGGACATTGATGTGTGACCACTGCATTGCTTCCATTTATTGGCATGTGCGTGGGCAGATTGGATTGTAGGTGTGACCCGGGGGATAGTTGGATCTATTGATATTCTCTCTCTCTTTACACTAACGAATTTATATTTTACCAATGGAACCTTTATAATGGCATTACCTTCACAGTCTAATGTCTAATGAAATTCCTCTTCCACAGCAGGACAGGTGATTAGGGTGTTTGCCTTGCTGTGTCAATATCAGGTCAGAAGAATAGAAAGGATCTAGGTGGAGCTCATTGAATGTCTAAGAAGTCTGTCACACCCATTGTTACGTGTTTGCTTGATAAACTAGTTTTTCAGTCTCCATGGAATGGCCTTTCTTTGAATTTACAGATCAATAGGGACAACTCACCTGGTTTGGTGATAGGAGTTCCTTCATCTTTGAAGTTTGTAGATCCATGTGTGTGTGTTTTGATTTTTAGAACATCCTTTTAAAAGGTGACCATTGATATTAAAGGAAATTCTTCCTCCTCAACATACGTGGTTGAATCTCCTGAACAGGAGGAAGTAGCCAACATCATTATCCTCCGGAGAGGAGAGTTGTGATTGAAAGTTCTCCCATTTAAAGAAAACGCATTGCCAAACCTTTCATTTCACCAACAATCTTTCCATAAGAGCATATATGTATTTAAAGGGAAAACATGAAGAGGTGAACTGACACCCCCTACACCAGCCATTTTCAGCCAGGGTTCTTCAATAGCAGAGGTCTCCCAACTTTCTAAACAAAGGGCCAGTTTACTGTCCTTCAGACTTTACGGGACTGGAGTGGGACCAATGGGCGTAGAAAATGCCCCATTGTTGGTGGGCATAGACCATGTCTCAAGCTTGGTGGTCGTGGGATTAAAAACATTACATAATGCCTGCGTCAAGTAGGCAGAGGAACAGTGCCCCATCGTCGTTGTCAGTGGGAGGAACAGTGCCCCATCGTCGTTGTCAGTGGGAGGAACAGTGCCCCATCGTCGTTGTCAGTGGGAGGAACAGTGCCCCATCGTCGTTGTCAGTGGGAGGAACAGTGCCCCATCGTCGTTGTCAGTGGGAGGAACAGTGCCCCATCGTCGTTGTCAGTGGGAGGGAGGAACAGTGCCCCATCGTCGTTGTCAGTGGGAGGGAGGAACAGTGCCCCATCGTCGTTGTCAGTGGGAGGGAGGAACAGTGCCCCATCGTCGTTGTCAGTGGGAGGGAGGAACAGTGCCCCATCGTCGTTGTCAGTGGGAGGGAGGAACAGTGCCCCATCGTCGTTGTCAGTGGGAGGGAGGAACAGTGCCCCATCGTCGTTGTCAGTGGGAGGGAGGAACAGTGCCCCATCGTCGTTGTCAGTGGGAGGGAGGAACAGTGCCCCATCGTCGTTGTCAGTGGGGGGGAGGAACAGTGCCCCATCGTCGTTGTCAGTGGGAGGGAGGAACAGTGCCCCATCGTCGTTGTCAGTGGGAGGGAGGAACAGTGCCCCATCGTCGTTGTCAGTGGGAGGGAGGAACAGTGCCCCATCGTCGTTGTCAGTGGGAGGGAGGAACAGTGCCCCATCGTCGGTGTCAGTGGGAGGGAGGAACTGTGCCCCATCGTCGGTGTCAGTGGGAGAAATGGTGCCCCACTGTTGGGGTCATTGGAAGAAATGGTGAACCATCGATGGTGTCAGTAAGAGTGCCTCATATTGGAGGGAATAACAGTGCCCCAAGGACCAGTTAAGGCAAGCAAAGGGCCATATTCAGCCCGTGGGCTGGAGACCACTGCTCAAGTGTTTTCCAGGGGTTCCTTGAGTTGTTGCTGGTTGACCTCTCATCTGATGGTGCCGAGATAGCTCTGGGTTCATTGCCACTTAACAGAGCCAGCAATATAACCCCAATGATCTGTTTAGCAGTCCAGAAGGATGGCATTCTGACCAACACTATAAGGGGGACATTCTTCTCTGACCACCAAGGTCAAGGCATTTTTTCCCACTGACCCCTCAATGACTTTATTTTAGCAGGGTTAGGTTCCCTGATACCTGATAATATCAAGGGTTCTCCAGGGTTAAAGAGTTTGAAAAAGGCTGCCCTACATAAAGAGGGGGAACTCAATATTGTAGAAAACAAAATGTGATAATTTTTTGAAGAAGTAGGAATGCAATTGTTGAGTTTTTTGAAGACACTAATACTAATCCTTTTGGCCTTTGTTAAACAGGGTCTGGCTGACCACACCAATGCCTTATGACTTCCTACTCACTACTGGAATGTAAAGAATCTATGAGCCCTTTGCGCATCAGTGTGGGTGGCCTTCCCGTTCTGGCCTCCATGACAAAGACTGCAGACCCCCGTTTTAGGCCACGCTGGCGTGCCATCTTGCTCTTCGGGGTGGTCTTGGCGCTGCTCCTACTGCTGCTATGCTTCCACCGGTCTACGTATGCCCGCACTGCAGTGCCCAACGCCCACAACTGGCGGTTGGTCCAACCTCTAGCAGGAGAACTTTATAACGACACCTACCCTCTCACCCCTCCCCAGAGGTTGCTGGACGGACTGCGCTACCAGATCGCCATCATCGCTGACTTGGACACTGAGTCTCGCAGCACCAAAGACAGCACGTGGTTCAGCTACCTAAAGAAAGGCCACTTGACCCTGTATGATAGCGGGGACCGGGTTGAAGTGGAATGGGACAAGGAAAACACAGTCCTAGAGACTCACTTGGCGGAGAAAGGACGTGGGATGGAGCTCTCTGAGTTAATAGTGTTCAATGGGAAGTTATACTCGGTGGATGATCGCACCGGGGTGGTCTACCGGCTGGAAGGGAGCAAGGCAGTGCCATGGGTTATACTTACAGATGGTGATGGCACAGTGGATAAAGGTAAGTCCTTTAAAAGAGAACCTGACGCTGATGCTTTGGTTGTCGTTCTCAATTCTCCAGGTATTTACTTTTTTTAATAGTTGTCTTGGGATTGCCTGTCAAGATTAGGGAGCCCAGTTCAAACATTTTGGGACTTCTTTTCTTCCCATGATAGTTGCTTATGGCATGTGCAGCAAAAATATTGGTGGTGTCATGTAGCAGAAGAGCAGAAAGGATGGTCAGTAACTTAAAGCAGTAAAGGCCGGCTTTTAAAGTGGTTCTAAAGGCTGGAGGTTTTTTACCTTAATTCATTTTCTGCATTAGAGTGCAGCATTCCCCCCCCCCTCCCTATTTCTTATACTTACCTGAGCCTGATGTCCATCCAGCCCTGTGTACATGAGCAGAAGCCTTCTCTTTTCCCATAGGCATAGAGACAGCAGGGGGAGCCATTCAGCCAGTCAGTCAATATGGAGCGAGTGGGGGGGCGAGCTGAGCTGCGCTCTGTGTGTCTATGGACACACACAGCCGGCTCGGAAGTGTCTCCATGGGGGCACTCGATGGGGGGAGGAGCCAAGAGAGCCAGTGGGGGACCTGACCAGGGGAGGATCGGGGCTGCGTTTGTGCAAAAGCATTGCACAGAGCAAGCAAGTATACATGTTTGTGATTAAGAAAAAGAAATATGCGTGAAGGTAAAAAACCTTCAGTGTGCAGAAGCCGCCCTAAGACTTACCCGAGCCTGTTCTCAGTCCAGTGATGTGCATGGGAGCCCGGATCTCCTGGGTCTCTCCCTCCTTATTGGCTGTCAATCTCAGCCTCTGAGGAGGGAGCAGGGGTCGGGCCTGAGCCACGCTCCTATGGACGCAGAGAATGGGGTACAGGAGCAAGTACTGCTCAAGGGGGAGGAGGCAGAAGCACAAAAGAGGAACCTGAGAAGAGGAGGATCGGGACTGTCCTGTGAAAAACCACTGCAAAGAGCAGGTAAGTAGAACACATCTTTCCCCTCCTCCATCCTTTGGTAAATTTACTGCCTGATAGTAGTTGAAAAAATGTTACCATATGAAAAAACAGATTAAATTATACACCTAAAGTGGCCATACATAGATCTAAATTTGGCCGGTTCAGCAGGGAGTGGACGATTTTCATTCTATGCGTGGCCACTGTAGTTGGACAGAATTCAATATACCGATGGACTTCTGTTCATCCGACCTGCTGGATAAAAAACTGCTCAATCAGCGCCGCAGGCAATAGGCTGCAGCGCTGACCTGTATATTCTGACTGCGGGGGAGTCTCAGAATGCAATGCGATAGTGCAGTGGGGAGGACTCCCCTATCCACCTCAAATGTATGGATGGGGCCATTGGGTGAGTTTTTTTTTTTTTTTTTTTTTTTTATATTCAACCCACTGGTTGAATGAAAACACTGACCATGAAAGGTATTCTTTGATGCAAGTCTGTTGAAATCAATGTTGACCGATCTTCCTGGATGGCTATAGATATGTAGAGAGCTGTGCGTCCATCCCTGTGCGAATGTAAACACTGGCATGTGCCAGAAGATCCATACAGCTGCTGCATTTCCCACGCTGTCATTGATTTTGACAGACTGACTGCATGCAGCTGCACAGGACATCTGTTGTTCTCCGGGTGCATGAATGCAATGCTCTGCACAGAGACAGAGGTCTATGCACCTGTATGAACGAGAACCAAATCTCAGACGGAGATGGGGCATGTTTTTTTGAGATTTGGACTGCTCCTTGTTCCCCAGGAACTTCTCATTAGGAGTATGACATCACCCCGCCTCCTAGGCAATGCAGGTGGAAGACGAAGACAAGGTCATTATTTAATCCAACTTTTTTCTTTTTATTAGGTAGCAATTTGTAAAGGGGATGTAGGCTGAACACTGCATTTTACTGTGAGATCTGCTTGAAAGTGCACAGGTGCTTAGCCCTTGTTGAAGCAGCAAATTCCCCTAACTGCCCTTAGCTGTCTATACCTTGATAGACTGTGAATATACACTGCTGTGAACATCTGCCTTGCCACCCCTTTAAAGCGGAGTTCCACCTGAAAATAAAAAAATCAGCAGCTACAAATACTGTAGCTGCTGACTTTCCACTTACCTGTCCCTCGGTCCAGCGGTGTCCTCACCACCACTGGTTTCACCAGTCGTCTTCTCTCCTGGTGCCGGCATCTTCAGTGTGGGCACCCGACCGTCACAGCCGGGTGCCCACTGCGCATGCGCAAGAAGCGCTGCGCTTTGTGAATGGCCCTCTAGCCTTCCGGGACTTGTTACGTGTCCCAGAAGACTACAGGGAGGGAGGAGGGGAGGACCACCACTGCTTCCGATCACCTAGGCGATCGCAGTGGGAGTGGGTACCCTTCCCTCGCTCCCCAAAGGTGCCAATTGACGGGGGACATTCCCTTTTTGGGTGGAGCTCCGCTTTAATTCCATATCAAAGAGAGGAAACCTTGTGCCATGACTGTGGCTTGCACAGAGTTCCCTTGTGCTAGTGCAGCAATTACCAAGCATCCGACACTGCATTGTGGGAGGAAGTTACGTGGTCCCCCATAGTACCAGATGTTTGCCTGCAGCTGAATGGATCAGCAGATCCAGAGAGAGGGAAAGGGCACTATGGCCGCTGGTTCATTTAAATGAATGTGTTACTTTGCCATGAACCCGTAAAGGACAGGTTCACTTTAAAGCTGCCAATAGATGGACTGTTTCCTCTTGAGAGAAGGCAATCTAATGATCTGCCTCTCCCAAATGGCATTGTTGGAAGATTTTCCTTCGATCTGGACATGCAGCCAATCAGTTGCAGTTCTGATCATTGTATTCTGACAGTGGAGGAGTCCCTGGTCAGGACTCAATAGCACAGTGAAGAGGATTCCTCTATTCAACTGGCTTGTGTGGATGGAGGGAGTCATTCACTGGCTGATCAAAAAAAAATTGATCCATCTATGGCCAGCCAGGATTAAGGACCGCTTGACAGTACTGGCTTATTGTGATTGGCTGCTCAAGCACCCAGTGCTGCATCATTGGAGGAAGGGGAGTAAATCACATGCTCCCCTATACCTGGAAGTACAAGATATTTCTTTTTACCTTGGGGGTAGAAGAGGTGAATATAAGCAGCATGGAAGGGAGGCAATAAAAATGTATGTGAACTCAAGAGCAACAATGTAATATATTGCAGCTTACCAGTCCTTAGTTGTGGTGGCTGCATTAGTTTTCTTTTCACAGGCTTTTTTCACTTGCTGACCCTGCCAGTAACAAGCTTCATGTTCTAGGCTGACAGCACTCATTCACTGTACTGTATTTATAGAGCAGCAGGACAACCTAGGACAGAAAGTATCTTAGGACTACAAAACACCTCTTCATTTTCCTCCTTGCCAGGACAGGTGGAGGGAGGTGTCCTGTAGTCCACAGGGCCAGCTAGAACCAATGCTAACAGATAACTGTGTAAGTATCTGAATATGACTTGGTATCAGCCTCTTAAAATCCCTGTACAGCAAAGCTCAGACTGGAAGAATGAGAAGCAGCACAAAGAAGCCAGTCAGTTGTGCTGTAGGGCTCATGTGCTTCAATGAAAATGCTGATAGGAGGAGACAACAGAGAGATGATCCGTCTGCTGCTTCACCTTTCACTGTCCAGTCACAGGGTGGGAGAGAGATGAGACCTGTAAAGCAGGCCATACATGATTCAATTTTCTTTGCCCGATTTCCCATCCCATCAGTCACTGTTGATGGGGGGGGGGGGGGGGGGGTCCCTCCCTCCCTCAGCACTGTTGTATTTTGCTGGCAGTGAGCCTACCCTGCAGGTAGAACACCATAATCGTTGCCGCCAGCAGTGATCGCATGCAAAAAAATCCATCTGGTTGTACTTCAGTACAACCAGCCTGCCCATAGATGGATCGAATCTCAGCTGGTCCCTGCTGAATGGGGCAAGATTCAATTTATCTATGGACGGTTTTAGTGTTCTCATACTGCTGCAGAGAAAAATCGGGGTTCTTACCCTGTTAGACAGGACTGTGCTGTGTGGCAGAGCTCTGTAAAACGTAGGACTGGATGGACAGAAATACAAATCCTTTGGCAGATAAAATTGCTGTAATTATTGTATTTGGCAGTTTGCCGGGCGTTCACCCTTTAAGTGTCATTGGTTTTTGTGTTTATTTCTTCCCCAGGTTTTAAGGCGGAGTGGTTGGCAGTAAAGGATGAACTTCTGTATGTGGGTGGACTGGGGAAGGAATGGACCACAACAACGGGGAAGGTGCTGAATGAAAACCCGGAGTGGGTGAAGGTGGTTGGACCCCACGGGGATGTTCGTCACTATAGCTGGGTTTCCAATTACAACTCGCTGCGAGAAGCTGCTGGGATTCATCCACCAGGTAAATGAGCAAGAAGGGAAAAATAATGGTGGGTCTTCATATGTGATCATATGGCTGAGAGTGTCCCTACAGTTCCCTGTCCTTGGAGCACGGAGGTCATGGGTTTAATTACTACCAAGGACTTCATAGGCTTGGTATGCTCTCCTCTTTTCTTGTTCAAACACTTTATTGGGTTTTAACCACTTCCAGACAGGACACTTTTACCCCCTTCCTGGCCAGGGCAATTTTCAGCTTTCAGCGCTATCATACTTTGAATGACAATTGCGCGGTCATGCAACACTGTACCGAATTGAATTTTTTATCATTTTTTTGAGACAGATAAAGCTTTATTTTCGGTGGTATTTATTCATCGCTGGGATTTTATTTTTTTTGCTATGTAAATGAAAAAGTGAAAAAATTTTGAAAAAAAAGTGTTTTTTTTTTTTTTAAATTTTGCAAATAAATAATATTTCATCATAAATCTTTGGCAAAATTTATTCCGTTATCTTTTTAGTAAAAAAAAAATCCAAATTAGTTTATAACCAAAAATTATAATTTTTAAACATTTTTTTTTACATTTTTATTTTATTTTTTTATATTATTTTTTATTTTTTTTATTTTTTCTAACACACTGTCACCCTAGCAGTACAGTGTCACCATGGTGACACTGTACTACTACTTGTGGGGGGTGATGAAGATTTTTTTTTTACACTGATTGCTTTTACACCCATATAGGATGTAAAAGCAATCATTTCTCTTTCTCTCTGTCTGCATTCTTGCACTCATTGAGAAGTACTGAGTGAGCTGTGATTGGTCACAGCTTGTCACATGGTACAAGGCTGTTGTGAATAGCCTTGTACCATGTGACCTCTGTGATCATGCACAGATTTCACACGTAGTAAGCAATGATGTCACAAGTGACATCTTGCTTACTACTTTGCATGTGATCACTGATTGGCCAATCAGTGATCACATGATCGGGACCTCGTACAGAAGTCCTGTCCGACGATCGGTGTTTCACTGTGTCCGGAGGACACAGCGGGCACCGGATCGCGGTGCTGCGCGCTCCCAGGGAGCACGCACAAGCAGGGGGCGGGGAGGCCGTTTATAAACGGCCACCCGACCCTGCACTGCCACCGTCTAGCCGTTTATATGCAACGGTCCGGTCGGGAAGTGGTTAAGAGTTTGGGGTTGACAGCAAAAATGCAAATGTCATTCGCAGTATAAATAAAAAATACAAAATAAGTGCCACAGGGCCTGTAGGGGTAGTAGTACAAACATTGCAAATGCAAGTAAAAAAGGAAAACCCGAGTAAAGGTAGGGAGAAGGAGTAGAGGCGGAGGGGAAGAAAGGGACAGAGTGTGTGACTTCCAAGAAAGAAAAAGGAAGGGGGGACAAGGGACCGGACCAAGATATGGGGTAACCTGGGAAACAAGGGTATTAGGGGAGGAGCAGCGATTCATCAAACCCTGCAGGGAGAAAGTGGTCGATCCAAGGGGACCAGATTAACAAACATTTGGAAACGGTATCTGTGATGGAAGCCTCCACTTTGGTATGTATCATGGCCTGAGTCACCGTATTCTGAACGTTTCTCCTCTTTTCATGTCTGAAAATTAATTTATTTCAGGTACTTCTATAGCGCCGTCAATTTTACGCAGCACTTTACATATATATTGTACATTCACATTAATCCCTAACCCTCAAGGTTGGAAAGATTGCTGGGTACACAAATGAATGGAGCAACAAAAGAATAAAATGTATAAGTTGTTGCACAGAGTGGTAAATATAAACACAGTAGAAATGAATGATAAGTGTTTAGCTAGGTGGTACTGTACACCGAGTGTTGCACATAAACAGAGAGAAGACATTTTGCCACTATGTTGGAGGGGTTGTGGGGAAAGAGGGACCATGACTCACATTTGGTGGGATTGTATAAACATTCAGGGGTTTTGGCAAGAGATAATTCAATATATACAGGAGATTGTGGGGACAACTATCCAAAAGGACCCGTGAGTTTGTTTGTTCTATTGGACCGAGTTGTCAATAAAACAGTATAAAAATAGTTTAACCCCTTCACGCCTAAGGGTAAAACAAATCTAAATGCCTAAGCACAATTCTGCACGTTGACATGTGATAGCAAAACCGTACATATCATCACAACTACTTTGCACATCCAGGTGGATTATACCTTGATTTTTTCAGGACAAATTGGGCTTTCATTTGGTGGTAAATGGTAAAATCTCCTGATTTTTTTTTATTATCAAAGGAAAACTGGCCAAAAATAGTAAAAAAAATCCTTTTTTTTTTTATTTAGCTATGTGTTTCTTGTTATGACCATAACCTACCACCAAACAGCAACCCAAAATAAATTCTCCAGCTCTTGACGATCGCAGCGATACCATATATGTGTATGTTATTTGTTGTTTGTACCCGTAGTACAGCCCAGAAACCATAGTGCGCATTTTGTTTTTGTCTTTTTTTTTTTTTTTACCTAAAACACACTAACACTAACTGACACTGACATTAACACTAACTGACACCAATTTTTTTTAAATCCTGACCTTGACCTTTGACCCTGACCTTTGACCTTGACCCTGACCTAAACACTAACCCTGGCACTGAACTAGATCAAACCTTGATCTAGGTATTTTTTTTTATTTTTTCTTTTATTTTTTTAATATTTATTTATCTTTTTTTTTTTTTTTTTTACAAACTTTTTTTTTTCTTCTCTCTGACAGGAGTTCGAGAGATACAATGTATCTCTCTTCTCCATTCATAGAGAGAGAGAGAAAAAAAAAAACAAGGGGGCCGGGCTGCACAGTGACTGATCACTGTGATAGCCAATCAGAGGCTATCACAGCGATCATGTGACCCGGGACCGGGAGTCCCGTGTCCCGATCGTTAGAACGGGACCCGGTGCTCTCAGTGACACCCGCGGTCTCGGTGCTGGGGCGCGCTGAGGGGCGCGCTCCCAACACAAAGACAGGTACGCAAATATGCGGCCCCACGGAAAAAAGCCCAGGTCCGTGAGGCCGCACATATTTGTGTTACGTCGGCGTCAAGGGGTTAATATACCATTTAATTAGAAAAAAAAAAAACCCACACCACTACCTAAATCGCCTCTCCCCTCTATCTCCCTTCCTCCATCTCCCTCCATCGCTACTTTCTCTTTCTGTTCACTTGCTGCCATTTTTAATTTCTGAGGTCCACTATCTCATTGAACCCCTCTGACCACCCCACTATTTCAACTACCCCTAATTCCAGTTTTTCACAAAAATCTTTTGAGTCTTCTGGGAATCTGAGCCTGGCCAACTTCCCATCTTGCCATCTGATCAGGCATGCTGGAAACTCTCAGTTATACCGATCATCTTTCTCTCTCATTTGATCCATTAATGATTTCAATATTCTCCTTCTAGACGAGTCACGGAGGCAACGTCCACAAAAACTTGTAACTTTTGTTTCCCCAAATTTTATTTCAGATCTCTCTCGCAATTTGTTCCAAATTTTTTTTTCTCTGTCCTCATAAATAATAAAAGTGAACAATCACATCTCTTAGGGATTCCGATGTATTTCCTGGTGGTCGTCTAATTCTATGCACTCTCTCTATTTTCAAGGGATCTGTATCTGATTTTCCACTCAATGGATGAAACGCACTCCATATTTTTACCCTTAGGTCTTCTTCTCTTGTAACCTCTGGTAGACCCCGAATCCTCAGGTTGTTTCTTCTTTCTTTATTCTCTTGGTCTTCTAATTTGTATGCTAGATTCCTTTGTTCTCTTTTCATCTTTTGCTTGTAGTTCCAAATTACCAATCTGCTGAGCCTGAGCTTCCACTTTTCCTTCTACTTCCTCCACCCTTGTTAACATTCGACCCAGATCATTGCAAATTGTTGCCATTTTACATTTCATTGATACTTCCAATTTTGCGAACATTTCCGCCATCTCGGTTTTAGTGGGAATTTGGGATAAGACTTCCTGCTTACCCACCATACTGTGTTCTTTTACACTGTCGGAATATAAGGTTTCATGAACCAAATTTCCATCCTGCATTCCAAATGACAGTCCGGTTTGATCTTTATCTGATACTCTCCTTCCTTCCTGATCTTTCTCAAGCTCTTGTTTCTCTGGACTTTTTTTTCCAGTATTGGCAAATACTTCTTAATTGTGCTCATATTTAAATTTGACTGTGGGGTTTTCACCCCTCCCCCCTTGGCAGATCTACTCATCATGTTATAGTTTGGCTAATATAAATTGTCCGTTTATTATTCGCAGTGTTACAACAGAACTAAGGGACACAATGTTTAGTCTCGAATCACTTTAACCACTTGCTGTCCGGCCGCTGTAAATAAACGGCCGGATGGTGGCAGTGTAGGGGCGGGTTGCGTTCATAAACTATGTCCGCCATTTTAGATTGTGCGCACTCCCTGGGAGCACACGGCACCGCGATCCTGTGCCCACTGTGTTCTCTGGACACAGCGGAACACCGATCGCTTTACAGGACCTCTGTGTAAGGTCCCGATCATGTGATCACTGATTGGCCAATCAGTGATCACATGAACAGTAGTAAGCAAGATGTCACTTCTGACATCATTGCTTACTACCTGTGAAATCTGTGAATGATCAGAGATCACATGGTACAAGGCTATTCACAACAGCCTCGTACCATGTGACAAGCTGTGACCAATCACAGCTCACACAGTAGTTCTCAATGGCTGCAAGAATGCATCTAGAGAGAAGGAGAAATTATTGTTTTTACAGCCTTTATGGGTGTAAAAGCAATCAGTGTGTAAAAAAAAAAAAAAAAAAGCTTCATCACCCCCCACAAGTAGTACAGTGTCACTATGGTGACACTATGTTAAAAAAACATAAATAATATAAGAAAATTAAATAAAAATGTAAAAAATATTTTTTTTTTAAATTTATAATTTTTGGTTCTAAACTAATTTGGGTTATTTTTTTTTTTCTAAAAAGATACTTGAATAAATTTTGGCCAAGATTTATGAAGAAAGATTATTTATTTGC